TGTTTTCTCTCTCCATTGTGAACTGTATCGATGTTCTTATCGAGTTCACATGGTCCAGTAGTAGTTGGACCTCTTCCTGATGTGGCCAGAGTATGAAGGTGTCATCTACGTATCTCAGCGATAGGATTAACTTTAGTGATGTGGATTTTAATGCCGTTTCTTCGAAATATTCCATATATATGTTCGCCATTGCTGGTGATAATGGCGAACCCATTGCTAAGCCTTCATTCTGTAGATATATGTCTGATTGTTATGGTGAAACACACCTATTCTATACTTAATAGACTCTCGCACCTAATATAAGTAGGAGTAGTAAGAGAAACGTCAGTCAGTCAGTCAGTCGATGTCGGACGACAGTTAGTCGAATACGAAAGTATCAGCGACCACAAGATTACTCTGCGTAATACCTATTATATCAAGTTCCTAACGATTTGTACGTCGAACCTATTTTAGTACCGACTTAGTACAAATACAAACCTCCACTGTAAAATAACTCCACAACACTGATCCCATTCCAAAGTATGTTATTTGTGTACAGAAAGTCAGCATCTCGATCAGGTTATCTATTGGTATACTGGCCCGTTCTCTTAGGGATGAGTTCGATGCCAGTCCCTACTACTGATAGTACCAGCTCCGTAGGTACTTTGGTGAACAGACTCGCCACGTCCAGGATCACCATCTGGTTGGATTGGATGGGAGCTTCTTTGATTATTTCCACAAAGTGGGCGGAGTTTCGGACATGTAAAGGTGACTTTCCTATTAATGAGTCAGTTTTATCTACAATGAAGCGGCTCAGAGTGTGGCACACAGAGCCATAGCAGTTAACAATCGGCCTGAGCAGAATACGGTCTTTGTGAATTTGGGGGAAGACCGTATATGTGAGGTAGCTTTGTGTACCTCTGCGACAACTGCCTGTATGTCTTACGTGCGAAATGGTCATTAGGATTTGCGGAAGTTTTCGTTGTTTTCATTACTGGATCTTTCTTTACTGTCGCTAGCATTTCTAATGAAGTCTTTCTATATATTCCGATCTGTCTATCACTACAGCATCTCCATCAGATTATCTATTGGTATACTGGCCCATGCTTCTAGGGATGAGTGCGAGGCCAGTCCCTGACTACCGATAGTGCCTCCTCCGTGGGTACCTTGTTGAACAGACTCATCACGTCCCGGCTCACCATCTGGTTGGATTGGATGGGAGCAGTTTTCATTATTACCACGGAATTTCGAACATATGAATGTAACTTTCCTATTAATGGGTCAGTTTTATCTATGTTATACCTGAACCTACCTATTCTATTATTATTATTAGTAGTAGTAGTAATAGTAGTAGTAGCGGTCGCCAGTTGAGCTCAGTGGTGTTGAGTGAGTCAGTTGATGTCGGACATTGAAGTATCAACCATCACAACTAGATTGCTGCGTCATTAACTCTTATTGCAAGTTCCTAACGTTTTGTACGTCGGACTTTTTTAGGACAGACTTAGTGAAATACAAGCCTCCATTGTGAAAACTACTCCACAACAATCTACAATGAAGCGACTCAGAGTGTGGCACACAGAGCCTTAGCAGTTAACAATCGGCCTGAGCGAAATACGGTCTTTGTGAATTTGGGGGAGATCGTATATATGAGGTAGCTCTGTACAACGCTGCGACAACTGCATGGGAGGTGGTCCTTGTTCTTTATTAGGATCTGTAACAGTTTTTATTCTGTTTTCATTGTTGGATCTTTCTTTACTTTAGCGTATCTAACAATATCTTTCAGCTTTCCTGTATATTCCAGTTTGTCCACCCCTACAGTCGGTTTGCCGTTGTCAGCTGGTTGTATGATGATGTTTCCATTACTCTGTAGGGTTCTGATAACCAGCCTCTCCAGTTTCGTGATGTTTGATTTGGGCGGCTTGGTTTTCTCCATTATCTGTCTCACTTTCCATCTTAGCTCATCCACCTGAGCCCGAGGGATGTTCAAAGCTATTTCCTCGATTAGAGCAATGATGTCTAAGTATGATATTTGTGATGATATTTGCGTTATTTGAGGATTTGTTGCAAAAGTTAATTAACTGATTTTCCTAAAACTTATATTACTGTCAGATGCAAAAATCAGATTGGACAAATTTTGGCGTTTTACTTACATTTATTTTAACTTTTTCAATATAGTAAGTTTAACTATAATCTATTGATAATTCCATTTAAATAATTATATTTTAGCTCATTTGGGATACAGTTAAGCGGCGGGCCGGATGAAGTGACGTCGAGGGAGGGGGGTGGATGAAGTGACGGGAGGGGTCGGATCCGTCCTGTGGGCCGTAGTCTGGTGACCACTGCTATAAGGTATAATGATTTAACTTATATATTTTATATCGTCCACCGGTATAGATTGCTCAAGGACACATGGCCCAGTGGATAAAGACGTTGGTTAGATCCAGTGACTAGACCCAGAGAGTTGTGAGTTCAATACAAGACTACAGCAGTGATGAACCAAAACTTGGAGAGTTGAGTTAAAATGAAATAACCGAGACATCCGGAAGAGGCATGGCACGTGGATCCAGAACAATCTTCCCCGGTGGACGAAATAAAGGGTTCTGCTCGAAATTCCAATCACCTGAAGAAGACCGGAGCGTACAACGGCCGAAAAGTTGGGAATATGGTAATGAAGATGAGGATAATAGTCCGAATAATGTAAGTAATGTCTATATGTAAGCGTAAGTTCTATGCTAAAAGTTTCTTTTATCACATATCTCACTTCCGGAACTCTCTTCCGGTTATATGTTTTCCAGTCAAATTTGATCTTCTAAAAATTCAAATTCAAATTCAAATGCAATGTCAATCGTTATCTACTGTCTTCCTGATTATTCTTCTATTGTTCTGTCTTTAATAATGTTTGTTTTTTTTTTGTTACTCTTTCACACACAGTAACCGCTTGTGTCTTAGTGGCTTTACCGTCTTGAATGGGGTAAAATGAGTAAAAAAAATAAAGTTACGTAGACGCATTATTCATACAAGACTTCGTTCGTGAACAGACTGTCAAAATGTTTATGACATTAGTTTAATATGTAATACATTTATTAATGAGATCTGTGCAGCTGAAGAGAAACGTTTTACAATAATAAAATAATATTTATTGGGCATTAGTTGAAGAAGAAAGAAAGAAAGATGTAAAGAATTAAAGGTAGAAAAGAAGAAAGAGGTAAAGAACTTAAAGGAAGACTGAGAAGAGAGGGGAAAAAAGAGATAATGAATTTAGAGCAAGAGGGGGGAAATAGAAGCGATAAAGATGTAAAGACTTTAAAGGAGGAGGAGGGGGAATAGAAGATGGAAAGATGTAAAGACTTTAAAGGAGGAGGAGGAGGAGGAGGAATAGAAAAGATAAAAATGTGAAGAATATAAATGAAAAATGGGAAAAGAAAAAGTTAAAGAATTTCAAAGGAAAAGGGGGGAAAAGAAGAAAGAACTTAAAGAAACAGGAGAATAGAAGAAAGAAAAAGGAGAAAGTTTAAAGGAAGAGGGGGAAAAGAAAGAAAAAAGTAAAGCATTTAAAGGAAGAGGGGGAAAAGAAAGAAAAAAGTAAAGCATTTAAAGGAAGAGGGGGAAAAGAAAGAAAAAAGTAAAGCATTTAAAGGAAGAGGGGGAAAAGAAAGAAAAAAGTAAAGCATTTAAAGGAAGAGGGGGAAAAGAAAGAAAAAGTAAAGCATTTAAAGGAAGAGGGGAAGAAAGAAAGAAAAAGTAAATAATTTAAAGGAAGAGGCGGGAAAGAAAGAAAGAAAAAAGTAAAGAATTTAAAGGAAGAATGGAGAAAAAGTAAGAAAACGGTAAAGAATTTAAACGTGGAGGGGAAAGAAAAAAGAAAAAGGAATTTAAAGGAAGTTGGGGGGGGAGGAAAGAAAAACCTACAGAATTGAAAGGTAAGGAACAAAATGAAAAGAGAAAAAGGTGCGGAATTTAAAGGAAGAGCGGGAAAGAGAAGAAAGAAAACTGTAAAGAATTTAAAGGAAGACGGGGAATAGAGGAGAGAAAAAGTAAAGAATGAAAAAGAAAAGGAGAGGAGAGAAAAAGTAAAGAATTAAAAAGAAAAGGAGAGAAGAAAAAGGTAAATAATTTAAAGGAAGAGAGGGAAAGATGAAAGATAAACGTAAAGAATTTAAAGAAAAAATGGGGGGAAAGAAGAAATAAAATGGCAAAGTATTGAAAGGAACAGAGGGGAATAGAAGAATGAAATATCTAAAGGGAGAGGGGGAAGAAGGAAAAAAAGGTAAAGAATTTAAAAGAAGAGGAAAGAAAGAAGAGGGTAAAGAAATTAAAGGAAGCGAGGGAACAGAAAATCGAAACAGTAAAGAATTTAAAAGAAGAGGAGAGAAGAAGAAAGAAAAAGCTAAAGAAAAAGCTAAAGAATTTAAACGAGGTGCGGGGAAATGAAGTTAAGGATATGTAAAAAATTGAAAGGTAGTGAGAAGATAGAAAGTAAAAAAACAAAAAAAAAAAAAAAAAAAAAAAAAAACAAACACGTATTATTAAACGTGAACAGAGTGGCCAAATTTGTATGACATTAATTTAATATTTAATAAAACAATTATTAATATGATCTGTGTAGCTGGGAAGAAATCTTTTACAATAATAAAATCATGTTTATTGTGTTCTTGCCTAAGAAGAAATAAAGATGTAAAGAATTTAAACGAGGAAGGAAAAAAGAAGAAAGAAAGAGGTAAAGAATTTAAAGGAAGAAGAAATAAAGATGTAAAGAATTTAAACGAGGAAGGAAAAAAGAAAGATGTAAAGAATTTAAAGGAAGAAGAAAGAAAGAGGTAAAGAATTTAAAGGAAGAAGAAAGAAAGAGGTAAAGAATTTAAAGGAAGAAGAAAGAAAGAGGTAAAGAATTTAAAGGAAGAAGAAAGAAAGAGGTAAAGAATTTAAAGGAAGAAGAAAGAAAGAGGTAAAGAATTTAAAGGAAGAAGAAAGAGGTAATGAATTTAAAGGAAGAAGAAAGAGGTAATGAATTTAAAGGAAGAAAAAAGAGGTAAAGAATTTAAAGGAAGAAGAAAGAGGTAAAGAATTTAAAGGAAGAAGAAAGAGGTAAAGAATTTAAAGGAAGAAGAAAGAGGTAAAGAATTTAAAGGAAGAAGAAAGAAAGAGGTAAAGAATTTAAAGGAAGAAGAAAGAGGTAAAGAATTTAAAGGAAGAAGAAAGAAAAAGGTAAAAGAATTTAAACGAGGAGCGGGGAAATGAAAGTTAAGGATATGTAAAAAATTGAAGAAAAGTGAGAAGATAGAAAAAAAAACAAACAAAAAAAACAAAAAAAAAAAAAAAAAAAAAAAAAAAAAAAAAAAAACAAACACGTATTATTAAAGTGAACAGAGAAATTCCAAATGACATTAATTTAATATTTAATAAAACAATAATTAATATGATCTGTGTAGCTGGGAAGAAATCTTTTTACAATAATAAAATCATGTTTATTGTGTTCTTGCCTAAGAAGAAATAAAGATGTAAAGAATTTAAACGAGGAAGGAAAAAAGAAGAAAGAAAGAGGTAACGAATTTAAAGGAGAAGGGGAGAAGAAGAAATAAAGATGTAAAGAATTTAAACGAGGAAGGAAAAAAGAAGAAAGAAAGAGGTAACGAATTTAAAGGAGAAGGGGAGAAGAAGAAAGAAAGAGGTAACGAATTTAAAGGAAGAAGAAAGAAAGAGGTAAAGAATTTAAAGGAAGAAGAAAGAAAGAGGTAAAGAATTTAAAGGAAGAAGAAAGAAAGAGGTAAAGAATTTAAAGGAAGAAGAAAGAGGTAATGAATTTAAAAGGAAGAAGAAAGAAAGAGGTAATGAATTTAAAGGAAGAAGAAAGAAAGAGGTAAAGAATTTAAAGGAAGAAGAAAGAAAGAGGTAAAGAATTTAAAGGAAGAAGAAAGAAAGAGGTAAAGAATTTAAAGGAAGAAGAAAGAAAGAGGTAAAGAATTTAAAGGAAGAAGAAAGAAAGAGGTAAAGAATTTAAAGGAAGAAGAAAGAGGTAATAAATTTAAAGGAAGAAGAAAAAAAAGGTAAAGAATTTTAAAGGAAGAAGAAAGAGGTAAAAGAATTTAAAGGAAGAAGAAAGAAAGGAAGAGGTAAAGAATTAAAAGAAGAGGAAGAAGAAAGAAAGAGGTAAAGAATTAAAAGGAAGAAGAAAGAGGTAAAGAATTTTAAAGGAAGAAGAAAGAAAGAAAGAGGTAAAGAATTTAAAGGAGAAGGGAGAAGAAGAAAGAAAGAGGTAAAGAATTTAAAGGAAGAAGAAAAATAAAGAGGTATGAAAGAATTTAAAGGAAGAAGAAAGAAAGAGGTAAAGAATTTAAAGGAAGAAGAAAAAAAAAGAGGTAAAGAATTTAAAGGAAGAAGAAAGAAAGAGGTAAAGAATTTAAAGGAAGAAGAAAGAAAGAGGTAAAGAATTTAAAGGAAGAAGAAAAGAAAGAGGTAAAGAATTTAAAGGAAGAAGAAAGAAAGAGGTAAAAGAATTTAAAGGAAGAAGGAAGAAAGAGGTAAAGAATTTAAAGGAAGAAGAAAGAAAGAGGTAAAGAATTTAAAGGAAGAAGAAAGAAAGAGGTAAAGAATTTAAAGGAAGAAGAAAGAAAGAGGTAAAGAATTTAAAGGAAGAAGAAAGAAAGAGGTAAAGAATTTAAAGGAAGAAGAAAGAAAGAGGTAAAGAATTTAAAGGAAGAAGAAAGAAAAAAAGACGTAACGAATTTAAAGAAGAAGGGGAGAAGAAGAAAGAAAGAGGTAAAGAATTTAAAGGAAGAAGAAAGAAAGAAAGAGGTAAAGAATTTAAAGGAAGAAGAAAGAAAGAAAGAGGTAACGAATTTAAAGGAAGAAGAAAGAAAGAAAGAGGTAACGAATTTAAAGGAGAAGGGGAGAAGAAGAAAGAAAGAGGTAAAGAATTTAAAGGAAGAAGAAAGAAAGAGGTAAAGAATTTAAAGGAAGAAGAAAGAAAGAGGTAAAGAATTTAAAGGAAGAAGAAAGAAAGAGGTAAAGAATTTAAAGGAAGAAGAAAGAAAGAGGTAAAGAATTTAAAGGAAGAAGAAAGAAAGAGGTAAAAAGAATTAAAAGGAAGAAGAAAGAAAGAGGTAATGAATTTAAAGGAAGAAGAAAGAAAGAGGTAATGAATTTAAAGGAAGAAGAAAGAAAGAGGTAATGAATTTAAATGAAGAAGAAAGAAAGAGGTAATGAATTTAAATGAAGAAGAAAGAAAGAGGTAAAAAATTTAAATGAAGGAGAAAGAAAGAGGTAATGAATTTAAATGAAGAAGAAAGAAAGAGGTAATGAATTTAAAGGAAGAAGAAAGAAAGAGGTAAAGAATTTAAAGGAAGAAGAAAGAAAGAGGTAAAGAATTTAAAGGAAGAAGAGAAAGAAAGAGGTAAAGAATTTAAAGGAAGAAGAAAGAAAGAGGTAAAGAATTTAAAGGAAGAAGAAAGAAAGAGGTAAAAGAATTTAAAGGAAGAAGAAAGAAAGAGGTAAAGAATTTAAAGAAGAAGAAAGAAAGAGGTAAAGAATTTAAAGGAAGAAGAAAGAAAGAGGTAAAGAATTTAAAGGAAGAAGAAAAGAAAGAGGTAAAGAATTTAAAGAAGAAGAAAGAAAGAGGTAAAAGAATTTAAAGGAAGAAGAAAAAAAAAAGGTAAAGAATTTAAAGAAGAAGGGAGAAGAAGAAAGAAAGAGGTAACGAATTTAAAGGAAGAAGAAAGAAAGAGGTAAGGAATTTAAAGGAAGAAGAAAAAAAAGAGGTAACGAATTTAAAGGAAGAAGAAAGAAAGAGGTAACGAATTTAAAGGAAGAAGAAAGAAAGAGGTAACGAATTTAAAGGAAGAAGAAAGAAAGAGGTAACGAATTTAAAGGAAGAAGAAAGAAAGAGGTAACGAATTTAAAGGAAGAAGAAAGAAAGAGGTAATGAATTTAAAGGAAGAAGAAAGAGGTAATGAATTTAAAGAAAGAAGAAAGAAAGAGTAAAAAGAATTTAAAGGAAGAAAGAAAGAGGTAATGAATTTAAAAGGAAGAAGAAAAGAAAGAGGTAATGAATTAAAAGGAAGAAGAAAGAAAGAGGTAAAAGAATTTAAACGAGGAGAGGGAAATGAAGTTAAGGATATGTAAAAAAAATTGAAAGGAAGTGAGAAGATAAAAAAGAAAAAAAAAACAAAAAAAAAAAAAACAAAAAAAAAAACAAAAAAAAAGGGAGAAGAAGCCAAAAATGACATTAATTTAATATTTAATAAAACAATAATTAATATGAAAGCTGGGAAGAAATCTTAACAAATAAAAAGATGTTTATTGTGTTCTTGCCTAAGAAGAAATAAAGATGTAAAGAATTTAAACGAGGAAGGAAAAAAGAAGAAAGAAAGAGGTAACGAATTTAAAGGAGAAGGGGAGAAGAAGAAAGAAAGAGGTAACGAATTTAAAGGAAGAAGAAAGAAAGAGGTAAAGAATTTAAAGGAAGAAGAAAGAAAGAGGTAAAGAATTTAAAGGAAGAAGAAAGAAAGAGGTAAAGAATTTAAAGGAAGAAGAAAGAAAGAGGTAAAGAATTTAAAGGAAGAAGAAAGAAAGAGGTAAAGAATTTAAAGGAAGAAGAAAGAAAGAGGTAAAAATTTAAAGGAAGAAGAAAGAAAGAGGTAAAGAATTTAAAGGAAGAAGAAAGAAAGAGGTAAAGAATTTAAAGGAAGAAGAAAGAAAGAGGTAAAGAATTTAAAGGAAGAAGAAAGAAAGAGGTAAAGAATTTAAAGGAAGAAGAAAGAAAGAGGTAAAAGAATTTAAAGGAAGAAGAAAGAAAGAGGTAAAAAATTTAAAGGAAGAAGAAAGAAAGAGGTAAAGAATTTAAAGGAAGAAGAAAGAAAGAGGTAAAAGAATTTAAAGGAAGAAGAAAGAAAGAGGTAAAGAATTTAAAGGAAGAAGAAAGAGGTAAAGAATTTAAAGGAAGAAGAAAGAGGTAAAGAATTTAAAGGAAGAAGAAAGAAAGAGGTAAAGAATTTAAAGGAAGAAGAAAGAAAGAGGTAAAGAATTTAAAGGAAGAAGAAAGAAAGAGGTAAAGAATTTAAAGGAAGAAGAAAGAAAGAGGTAACGAATTTAAAGAAGAAGGGGAGAAGAAGAAAAAAGAAGTAACGAATTTAAAGGAAGGGGAGAAGAAAGAAAGGTAACGAATTTAAAAGAAGAAGGGAAAATGAAGAAAGAAAGATGTAAAGAATTTAAAGAAGGGGAGAAGAAGAAAAAAGAGGTGACGAATTTAAAGGAAGAAGAAGAAAGAAAGAGGTAATGAATTTAAAGGAAGGGGAGAAGAAAGAAAGAAGGAGGTAACGAATTTAAAGGAAGAAGCGGAGAAGAAGAAAGAAAGAAATAACAATGTTTATTCTCTCTGGCCACATAAATTCATCATGCGAGATGTATGACGACTAGCGAATTGTAGTTTGTCCACTCTTGTCTTCGTCTGTCGAAAGACCACAAGTGCGTCACAAATGGACAAGTATTTCATTTTTTTTTCTTTCTTCATTACCGACATTTTAATGAGGTTTATTTTTTGATTTTTCTCACGTTAGTGAATGCCTTTCGCAATAATTAACTTCAAGGTTACATTTGTGTTAAATAAAATGGAAATCCAAATTTACCTCACCAGAATAGCTATTTCAACCAACAAGCCGTACGTTGGCATTTTCAACTCAGAAGTGCCTTCTGATTTTGATTATATGAAATTTATATGCTCTGTTATAATAAATACATTGAGCTCTTTTCGTGGATCAACGGATCATATATATATATATATATATATATATATATATATATATATAATATTAGTGATATATATTTATATATATATAAATTTCCAAGAGGATAGAATCCAGGTAGCACTCAATGCCCAGGACAGAGTAATTCGCATGACCATTACGCCTCATAAATAATAGACTATTCCATTTTGATCGCGTGACGCTGCTTGGTTTCAGTGAGAAAATGAAAGAAAGAAAGAAAGGAAGATAGATTGATAGATATGTTTTAATGTTTCCTGCCAATACCGCATAAATAATGGACTACTTCATTTTGCTTGTGTCGAAAGACATTGCTGGAAGAGCGAAAAAAGAAAAAAAAGATTTTGATAGAAAAGGACCCCCCCCACACCAAAAAAAAAAAAAAAAAAAAAAATAGACGAGAAAATAAACGACAGAAAAAAAAACGAAGCTAAGGCTTCAAGAACACCAGAAAGCTGTATCACGAAGTGAAGTAGAAAAATCAGGTGTGGCTGACCACATATGGAGAGAAACGGGAGATAACCGCCCTCTGTGGGATCAGGTTGCGATTATAGACAAAGAACACCACTGGAAAATTCGTAAACTTAAGGAATCAGTCCATATACTAGGCCATAAAAATCTCCTGAGCCGACCAAGCATAAAAATCAATACAATACGTGAACCAGTAATAAGGAGTGCCAGAGAAAAGCGATAACAACAACAAAAAATGCAATATGAGCTGTGGCAAAAAATGCAATGATAACAGCAAAAATTGCAATATGAGCACTGGTAAAAAGGTTGCTGAAGACATTAGGTTTATAATACCCAGAATTTCATACACAGCACAGTGGATAAAGGCGTTAGATCCAGTGACAGGACCCAAAGATTGTGAGTTCAATACCCAGTTAAAGCAGTGGAGAACTTGGAGAGGGGAATAACAGGAGATAACTGATAACTGACATCCATTAGACATGGCACGTGGAAATAAAACAGTCTACCCCAGTGAGATAAATAAAGGGTTCAGTTCGACATTCCAACCACCTGAAGAAGGCCGAAACGTTGTAATAAATATGGCGACAAAGATGAAGACAATAGTCCGAATAATGTAAATAGTGTACATAATACCACATCTCAGAAATATAGACAGATACAGAAAAAACGAACAAACAAAAAAATTGATAAGGAGAAAATTTTTTTTTAAAGTAAATAGAATGAAATTGAGAGAGGGGATGAAAAGACTGCCGGCCAGAACCCTTCAAATACTCAAGCCAATTGACCAGATGTTCTTTTATTAAATAAAATTGTCTGATACAAAGGAATTGATAAATTCGTAATGTCGGACGTAAGAAAAATTTTCTTTGCTTTTTTTTTTCCTTTTAATCCACAAACATACACGAACGTGTTTTTACTAATTGTTCACCTGTTGTGCGGAAAGACGCTCGACCTTCTCTACACTAATTGCTGAACATAGACTCGTCCATTCACTATGAATATGACGTCTGCTCATATGCACTTTGGGTCTTATCACTGGATCTAACCAACGACTTTATCCACAGGGCAATGTACCCTTGAGTGACTAGACCCAAAGATTTGTGAGTTTAATACCAGGCCACAGCAGTGGTGAACCAAAAAACTTGGAGAGTTGAGTTAAAGGGAAATAACACCCGGAAGGGGCATGACACGTGGAACTAGAACAATCGTAGACGAAATAAAGAGTTCTAAATTCCAATCACCCGAATAAGGCCGGAGCGTGCAACAACCGAAACGTTGTGAATATGTCAATGAAGATGAGGATAACAATCCGAATAATGTAAATAATAATTTGAGTTATTCGGCTAAAAAGAGAACAGGTTAAAATCGTTTTATGTCAGCCCCGCTGTCTTACCAACTGAGCAATAGTGAGAGGAAAAAGATCATTCAGTAATGGTATCAACATTTATATTCTGGTTTCAATCTTCAAAGTCCAGTCAAGAACCATCAAGAGAACGATGAATAAAATTAAAAAAAGAGGGAAGAGTAGAGAGGAAAATTGAATCAGGAGGTCACAGGGATCATTATTTCAACTTAGAGCTAAAGAGATCAATTAGAAAAGATCCAACTCAATTCATAAGACATCCAGAAGAAGCATTGCACATGGAACTAAACCAATCTACCCCTAATAAGTTCGGTTTGAAATTCCAGTCACCTGAAGAAGGCCGGAGCGTACAACGGCCGAAATGCTGTGAATATGGAAATGAAGATGAGGATAACAGTCGGAATGATGTAAATAATGCAAGTAAAAAGATTTTATCTTAAAAGATCGGATTAAGAACGGTATTAAGAAATTAATTTGTGAGTTTAAAAATTAAAATATGCAAAAAAATATGATCAGTCTGATTTCTCTTGAACTTTTTTTTTTTTACCTTCCAAGCAATGGATAAGAAGGTATTTTTTTCAGATCGCCCACGTCGCTACTGAATGCGACACATTAATGTTTAATGTAGGTTCACAGGCAATACCGTGGGAAAATAGCTCAAGCACTTCCGGTCTTGGGGACGCCTCAGGCGCTGGGTAATGCCCACTTTTGAAAGAGAGAGACTAACTGGGGGTATGGCTCCCGGAGATTGAAAATAATATTATTTTCACACTTCTCGCTTGTGGAACTCATTTCCGACTCCATGTCAACTTTGATCTTCAGAAATTTAAATGCAATAACAATCGTTAGCTATTGTCTTCTTGAATACTCTCCTATTGTTTTCGCTCCTTAATAATATTTCTCTTTTGTCTTATTCTTTCACACTCAGTAACCTCCTGCGTCTTAGTGGCTTTACTGCCTTGCATGGAGTGAAATGGTTAAAGAAAACTTTCCCGGGAGAAGCGAACTTCTACACCAAGTAAGTACACCCTTTCTGGAGTGACAGGGTATAAGAAATATGAATTTATTTTCGAGTGTATGATGAAATTTGTTTGGCCATGAAAAATATTGCGCCATCCGGGATTACATCAGATTTTCATCACGCCCAGGCACTATTGTCTCGCTTGTCGATTAGTTGTCCTACGGCTAATGTCTGCGATGGACTTTACTCTAGAGAAGCGTACTAAAATTGTAACGCTGCACAAACACACTGGCAAGCCTTATCAGTGAGCAAATTAAAGTACTATACACTGACCTAGAAACTCCCCTGATTTAAATCTAATCGATAATCTGTGGTCGATCTGCAAGGAGCGACTTCATGGAATGGACGTACGAAGTACTAATATGTTCACCGGATCATGTTGCATTGGAAAAATACGAAAGAAGTAAATAATAATGGAATTATTCGTTTTGTCTCAATTAGTTTGCATAAAGGTGTAGTATGAAAAAGGTTACGGTGATCTCTGCATACGTATTCACCACAATTCTTACAGACAATCTGCTTATAATTTGCACAAATATTATGACTAAAATCAGAAACTTAGTCTCCAAAAGGTGAAGTACAGAGGGGGCTTGAACAATTTTTGTACGGAGT